GACCATGCAGTTCACCAGCCAAGGTCTGATCTGCAGTAAGCGTAAAGTGCTAGCTTCACTGGGAGATCAGAACTGCTACCGCTCTTGCGAGCCTTGATCTAAGTTCGCGCTTCAACTCCTGTCTCTAAGGAATTTTTTAATGCATGTACAGAGCAGGGGGCCATCCCTCTCACTGCAAACGTACCTGCTAATCTAATTAGGGCAACAGAAGGAAATGGTGCTCGACACACTTGTGCGTCGGCGCCTTTCCTTCTGTTGTCCCTGTTCTAGTTTAATTAAGACTAAAGTCCCGCTACCTAACTATTGCGCCTAATTAAGAACCGCCAAGTAGTCAGTGACTAGTTTTTGTTGAAACCTTCTGTTGTTCGGACCCAGCATTTCTTGCCGTTCCCTCAAGTCAACGGCTAAGTATTCAGTAACTAGAGTGCTGGGTAGTCAGTAACTAACTTCTGGAACTTCGAAACTGATACAGCTCTTGCGAGCCCTTTTCAAAGTGTGTCTCGCCACGGGGTCCCACTGAGGGCTGTGGTGCGATCCCCACCGAGGGGCGCGGTTTTTTGCACATGCCCTTAAGGGTGACCCTTCACTGAACATTCCGTTACTCCTCGAATACCACTGATTCAGCGGTTTGCACGAGAATGCTGATCGAATGCCGCAGGGCCCACTGAGTACCACCACAGAATGTCATGTCACGCTGCTAAATATTCATAGGCACTCGGCTAAGTATTCACGTTTCGGTTCTTTCAATTAAATGCTTTTTAGATGTAACTGATGCCTTTTAGTCAAGGGAGCGCCGATTTCGGCTTCTCGGCCAGCGCCTTTAGGCCTGTGCCTATGGCCCGCAAAGCAATATTTCAACAACCCCCCCCACCCCACACCCCCTACACCTTTTCTTTTCTTTCTTGCCCTTCCTCCAGGCTTGTTGGGTTGGCTTTTAGGCTCGTTTAGTGAACGCACACCTTCCCCCCTCCCGCAGAGCAAAAAGAGAGTGCGCCGACTCGCCTTTCTGCGCACGTCAACTCCTGTCTCTAAGGAACTTTTTAGTACGTGTACAGAGCAGGGGGCCATCCCTCTCACTGCAAACGTACCTGCTAATCTAATTAGGGCAACAGAAGGAAATGGTACTCGACACACTTGTGCGTCGGCGCCTTTCCTTCTGTTGTCCCTGTTCTAGTTTAATTAAGACTAAAGTCCCGCTACCTAACTATTGCGCCTAATTAAGAACCGCCAAGTAGTCAGTGACTAGTTTTTGTTGAAACCTTCTGTTGATCGGACCCAGCATTTCTTGCCGTTCCCTCAAGTCAACGGCTAAGTATTCAGTAACTAGAGCGCTAGGTAGTCAAACTTCGAAACTGATACAGCTCTTGCGAGCCCTTTTCAAAGTGTGTATGTGAAAGACACTTGGTCATAAAGCCGAATCCGGCGCACTCTTGACTGAAAAGTCCTCAGTTACACCTAAAGCAAAGAACGAACATCTACAAGTAGAAAGAGAAAGCACAAGAAGGAGAACAAGCGGCTTAAAACGGGAACCGATGCATAAACTACTCAGAAGCGGGCATGAACTACTCAAGAGATGTGGTCCTATGCAACTCTGGATATTCTTCCCGTGAGCTCGACAGTAGAATTTCAGCATTCTCGTGCAAAAACGCTTGATCCGAAGCAGGTTCCGGCTGCAGAACGATTCGTTCAATTAGGATCACCTTTTCGAAAAGGAGTCAAGTCAGCGCCCCTCAGGGATCACACGGCACACCACCGTGGGAGGATGTCGCTGGACACACTTAGATATTAAGCTCAAATGGTCGAGCATTCATTGACTGAATCCGGTTGCAGTAGCACTTGAGTTTACTGCAATAGACTTTGGCTGATGCAACGGTAAGAAGTGCTGGGTTGGCCAAAACAGAATGTTTGAAAAGAGACTCACTAGAGCTTTACGAGGAGAGGAGGAGAGTCACAGCTTGAGAACACCACCACAAAGAGCAGGTACGTCAGTTCTGCGTCCACAACTGCCAGCTTCGTTGGTGGAGAAGCAATACAGGTGTCTCCACCCCCTGCTTGTAGTTCAAGAGTTAACCCTTCGAGACAGGGTGTGACACACACTCGAGATAAAGCACGTACAGTCTGAGTTGCCACATGCCCAACCGCTTGGGTGAAGGCGTCCAAGCATGGAAAATAGTTCCAAGAATCAAAAACTCCAAAAGTTTCGAAAGGCACCTAATACCAAAACGTCAAAATCGAGCGGCGCATGCATGTCTGCAGACCTGAGTCATTCTGCAACAGCCTGAAAACCTACGAGTGGAAGGTAGTTACAACGCTCACAAAACCAGGTACAGGAAGGTGATCGGCCTTCCCCTCCCATCCACAACCGTTAGCTTCGTTGCACACGGCACGTATCGGTACATCATGGATGCCGCGTGCCCCTGCGTTCTTAAAAACAAACAAAAAGCCAAACGGCCCCCTAAGATTCCCAGAGTTACACACACAGAGATCAAAGATTGCAAGCGTCTTGGAGCGTCTCGCGTCTTCCATTTGACTACATCAGTCCTTGGAGATTATCCGCGCAGCCCGGTTGAAGGTTGAGATGACCGAGAGAACAGCTGTCGGACCGAAATCTGTGTGCTCCAAAAGCTGAAGCACGGGATCGCTGATATCGACTTCAAAGGGTTCAACGAAGGTTCCTTGACCGTGGACGGGGATCAGCCATGCTTCTTTGAGCAAGTTTACGGGAGCCCAATCCAAACGAGATTTTGCGAAGTCCAGGAAGTCTAAATGTGCCAGGCTTGCCTTGCGGTCGCAGCCAAATCGCAACAGAAAGTCATTCCCGGGCTCACGCATCCACTTCCAAAGTCGATCGGTCCCAACAGAGAGAGACTCAGTATTTAGCACGTCGATAATGGCCTGAGCTCTGCAATGCCTTTGACACCGGGCAAACAATGGAGCTAGTGGTGGAAAGAGGCGCTTCAGAACAGCTTCAACTCTTGCAGACATCTTTCCGACTTCCGCCGCTTTGTTCAAAGCCTGAGACAATTGATGCCACCTTTGCTCTAGAACAAATTCTTGAAGCGATGGTGGGACACTTGGAGTCAACCACCAAGGTGCTTCAGAGGTGTTCTCGCCTTGAAGGTACACTCTGCAAACATGGAAAGGTAAATTCTCTCTGGGGATCTCATACTTTTTTGCGTCTGCTCGCTCCCTCCGGGGTCCACATACTCGGCTAAAGCACTTGACTGGTGCTTGGCTCCCTTCCTGCCGTATTGAGGATCTCGAGGATCGCCTGAGTATGGCAGCAGAATTCATGAACTCTCTCTCTCTCTATGATTCTATGATATTCTATCGATTCTATGATATTCATGGTAGATTTGATGACAGGATGACAGGATGCATGAAATCGGCACTCCATGAATCCACCACCTTTGGACAGAATTCTCCAACAAACCTGACCCTGCGATGTCAGCTGTAGCATGGCGTAGCATGGCTCCTTATTTTTGTCACGGATACTGGGGTGACTCTCTTCCGGCATTTGGATTGCAAGTTGAAGACTTCAAGGCTCGAAGAAGTTCAATGATCCAATGGTCAATGATCAAATTGACAGGTGTATACTACGGTATATCAGCAAATATAGGAAAAGAAGAAGGTTTTGGGACCCTTAAGAAGGTCCCCTTAAAGGAGGGCCTTATTAAAGGACCAAACATCTTCCTCTCTCTCTCTCTCTTTCTTTAGAAGATTGTACAAGGACAACTCTTGCCAAGGAGGCCAAGGAGCACGTCATCAAGGAGAGGCCTTCCCAATACTTCAGACTTTCTCCTCCGCCACAAGAGCAGCAGTGCTGTGATGAAGATGGCCAGCGCGATAGCCAAAAAAACCCTTCCAGCCGCCGAAGAAGGACAGTGCATACTCTATTCCGTCCAAGCAGTTTGGATTGCTGCCAACATTTGGCACTCCTACTCCACACGTGTACGGGCAAATGGGCGTGTACCAGCCCTTTGTTGAATACGTACCCTTTGCGGGTTTGTTGGTGCACGGATGGCACATTAAGCCATCATCACTCCATTGGCTTTCAGGACAAATGCTACACAAAAGCCCCCAATGTCCTTTTGGGCATCCTGCAACGGAGAAAGCCTGACCTTGTTGCCCGTAGGTCGAATCCAAAAGCTCCTTCGTTGGAATCAAGTTGCAACTTGACCCCTTGGAGTCGAGATCCAGCTTGCCACCTTCAACATCATGCTTCAATCCAACAGTCGAAGTTGGAGTAGACCAGTTCATCCCAATAGCACCACCACCACCTGCCCCACTGACCACCCATATCTTGGCTTGTTGGATACATGCACCCTTTCCACCTGTGGCCGTTATTGTGGGCTGGTCTGCTTGAGCTGCTGGTGTCTGCAAGCTGCCTACAAAAATCAAAATCTGTCCACCAGATCCACCAGCTGATGCAAAGCTGAGCTTTTTGTCACTGCCAGCCGTCCCATCACTTCCAGCAGCGTCCAAGCGAACAGCCTTGCCAAATGTAATGGCTTGGGCCGAAAGCCAAATCAGTCCACCGCCTGCAGAAACTGCATTTGAAACTGTGCTTGGTGGACTGATTTGGCCAAGGTAGGACAAGCCGGTTGCGCCGCCCGAAGCTCCTCGAGTAGGCAACATGTTCCGCGTCTCCAGAGTCTGACTGTATCGATCGTACTCAGACGTGTTGACCGTAGACTCATTGACGTGAACACTTTGCCCATCAAACCACCATGCAAATCCGCCTCGACCCAAGTGGGTTCCTCCGCCTCTAGACAGAGCAACCCGCAACTCGGAACATTTAAAATGGATCACGTTGAATCAAACGCAACTTCGGTCAGTCCAAGCGCAAAACAAACATTGAGATGTCATACAAACTTTTGGACACCCACCTGCCAACCAAGGTCCTCCTTTGGCAGGGCCAGGAACCGAAATACCACCGGCAGGTTGTTGTGAATATCTCGAGGAGGCTGAGCAGCCACCGCCCGACACATCAATCACACTCTGGTCATCCACGTTCATCTGGTTGCTGCATAGAAAGGCTGATGCTGCTTGTAAACGGGCCGCTTGTGCAATCGTCAAAGATTCCCGCGCCAGCAGCACCTCGTCGTTTGCCCAAAAAAACACGTGATTCAAAGAAGCAACTCCCGCTTCTCCTTGTGCCACACCCCAGAAATTATAGTCACGGTATTCTTCTTTCCGGCTTTGTCTTACGGCTAGACAGGGTGACAAAAAGTAACCACGGCTCGATTTTGATGGAACCAAAACACAGCAAAACCTGCCTAAGCCCAATGCTACAATGCTACATTTGAGATAAGCCCAATCCAACTACCTGCGTATCTGCACACTGCTCCCAAGGCATGGCCCCAGCCACAAGACATGTCTTGAATTAGGTGTAAGTCACTCTGCACCAACTGCACTCAACAAGGGGCAGGTTGCAAAATAATTCACCCCGGTGTCCCGGTTGGTGTAAGGCAAAAGGCAAGCTTTCCCTATCGATCCTCACTCTTCGTAAAGGAATGCCTAACCTCGCCAACCTGGTCAACCATGTTGTTTTCTGTTTTTCTCGAGCTGAAAAATAGTAGGTATCTGCCAAGAAACAAGGTTAAAGGACACATCGCCATCCGCGCTAGGTGGCCACGCACCAGTTGTAGTGGCCCAGGAGCCTAAAACTCCTTGACACCGATCAGCCACTTTGGTTCCTGGAATGCCAAGGTCGAACTAGAGACACACAATCAAAATAAAGCAAAGTTTAAAGTAATAGAAAAAAACATGAGTCGAGTCTAGGTATAGTGGTTGTCGAACTTCACAGGAAAAACTTGATTGTTCAGCTGTTACGCCGTTGTTGTGGCAAGTAGTGTCGTGCTGGATGCTCACAGAACTGCTTGCAGTAATTTCCAGGTTCTGTGCGGAAGCAGTAAGTCCTTAGCTACAAAGTGATTGTGCGCGACTTAATCCATTCCTTCAATTCATGCAGCATCGATGCTCAGTTAGCAAATACGCTTTACCCAGTGGGGCCACTTGCATCTAGGCCACCGGAAAGGATCCACTGGTATTGACTACTGCCAAGAGTCATCGATCCTCAGCAGAACAGAAAGAAACAGCTCTGCCACAGACCATGCATCTGAAATCATTGTCTGTGGTAACAGTCCAATATGCTTACAGGAACATTCCACAAAATACCTCAGATTCAGCCTCAACCATGTGCAGCGCATCCGTTGCCTGAACGACTTTGACTTTGCCTCATACAAATGCTACTCAACCAAGGCACCTTGCGTGGTGAGTTGCAATTCTGGAGGTTCTGATGGCGTCTGCTTGGTGGCAAAGCCGACGAGAATTCGTGCTTCCAGCTGCAAAGAGCTCTCGGTGGATATGCTAATGATGCCTGCTGTCAGTGTCGATTTGCTGCCAGCCTGGCCAGAACACGAATGAAAGGTTCTTGTCATTGACATTCTTAAGATCTCTCAAGCCAATGCATCTTGCAACTTCTCTGCATGTGCAGGAATGATTGAACCTTGAATCAAACCTACTGCAAAAAAGTGGAACATCTCCCTCAAAGAAAATACAACAAGAACTACAAGAGCCGCCAATGTCATATTAGGACTTAGAATGTGTCGAGATACTTCCACTGTTGAAGCTCTGATCTGCAGCAGCTGTCTAGCATCCGTCGAAAGAGCTGCACTTCCCTCCAAGTTGACCCCACTCTTGTTGCAAGTCATATTCATCCAGCTACCTCAGAGCAAGACTTCTTTCCAAAATCCACAAAGTCACGCAGTCAAAAAAATGTTTCTTTACAAATGTGAGGCCATTGCTACTAGGGCGGGTGGAGACCATCGTTATTAGGTTGGAGGACATCGCTCTTAATTAGGTTCGAAGCCATTGCTTTTAGGTTGGAGGCCATCGCTTTTAGTATCTCAAAGAACATTGTTTCTTCCGCGTTTTTTTCACACTGGCCTTTGAGGCATGAGTCTGCTATGACGATGCCCATGGTATTGTTGCTGTCCTGACATTCAGACGATTCAGAGAAGCCTTCTGAGACGGAGAACTCAAGCAAGGGGGACAACAACGAAAAAGAGAAGTACAAGAGAAAAATAGAAGTACAAAATAGCACAAAGACAAAAACAATCCTGCAGCTGATCCAATGAAACACGTGATGTAGCCGAGGAGAATGTAGAATTTGCATAGGCAGAGCTCGCGGAGCTTAGCAGCTCAAGTCGGCTCAGTGAGGAAGTCAAGTTGGAGTTGCGAATATGGATGCCACTTGCGTTAATCACCAAGTCTCCTGAAGGGCTCAGGTCAAGAAACCATCCACCGGATGTTTGGAAGCATAAAGCTTCTACATGCACTCTTGCTGCACGTGCTCTTTCACTCTTGCTCTTCCTGCACCAACCTCTTTTGCTGGCAATTAATCACGGTTGCCCTTTCAAAGGTCCTTTTGCATGTATTGTTGACCCGTTCTCCACTGTCACATCACCAGTTGCATCGATACGAAACCAATCATCAGAAACAATATTGCAGCCTTTGGTTATCAGCACTTTGCCAGCGTAGGATAGGCTTCTGTCAGGGCCAGCCACATGTTTAGATACCTGAGGCTCGAGTTGCAAACACTCAAAGAACTTGTGTGCAGGGGCGACAGGACTAAGAGCGTGTTGGCTGTTCCAAGGGGCATTAATCATACATACGTTATCGGCGGAGGAATCGCATATATTGCTACGCACTGGAATCGCCACAGCAAACACGAGCCATGCTGTGTACATGGCACGCCTGAGGAGAATAAGGAGTGGGGTGTTCCTTATCCTTATAGAATGTCATAGTGGCCAAGCATTAAAGCCATGAATTTCATGCCATGAACAAGCTTAAGAAAACGCCTTCACATGTGCTGACATCTCTGCTTCAAGGCTGAAAGAACAGTCTCTAAGGTCAAGTCTAAGCAGCATTTGCATTGTAAGCTGCAAGCCTCTATGTTTTGCGATAGAGCCAAAGCTAAAAACAGGTTGGACGATCGAAAGAGGACCCAAAACGGCTCACAGATTGCCAGAGTCAGTGATATGGAGCTTTGCATACGCATACAAGGCCATGTCTATAGGGGGAGCAATTTTTTCAGGTATTTTTCACAGCTTCGCAGGGGCATCAACAGCGGAATTCACAGGAACCCACTTCGCAGAAGCCCCAAAGGAAGCCACCTTGGAGAGCAATTGAGCAATGCTACAGCAAGGCATTTTCCAAGGCCTTTACCCCAACAAATACTTGCTGTCTCCCAACTTGACCGGTATTTGAACGTCTCCTCCTGCTCAGATCCGAACTGTTTCCATGTACGTGGTCCACCGCCTATTTCATTGAGGCATTAGACACTGTCTTCTATCATTTGGTTCTGGCTCAAGAAAGAAGACCGGTGGCCCATTTCCTTGTGCAAGTTGGCATCCCCTTTTTTTGAGCCATGCTTACACATACCCACTTCCATCATGTGCTTTGCATAAAGCTGTGCGTTGTGTCAAAAGCGCCTCAGCCCCTCTGGATCTGGGAAGCTATTCGGGTTCGATGGCAGTGGCTTGTCTTCTTTGTCCAGGACTTTCCTCATTGGCTCGAGTTTCAACACTCCAAAGCACTTGAGACTCGGAACACATGTGGTATGGTCAAGTTCCTTGACGGGTGGCCTCGTTTTGATACTCCTTTCCTAGTGTTCCCAGTGCGGCTTTGCATCTTGATTTGGACGTAGAGTTGCGGTGCTTTCCTCACTGTCTCCCGGATGTAGCGCTTGAAGGAGGCCAGTGTCACTGTCTCCGCGAATTGGGCACCTCTTTCCCTTCGTCCAAAATCAAAGGTGCGATCGTGCAGCTGTGAAGTGAAGCGTGCGGCCTGGTCAGACAGGCACTCTTCACTTGTGTTGATGCTTTACAGGGCACCGTACAGTTTGAGAAGTGTTCACGGTATACACTAGCTGCTTTATGGGAAGTCCGTGCAAATCCAGGCCTCCTCCCTGAGGTTCTTTGGCTTCATTCAAAGCTGGGAGATGAGTCCGCTCTTGCAAACCTCAAACTCCTCTGCACCTAAGGATTCCTCCACAAAGTGAAAATGTTCCTCCATGAACTTTCCAATGCAGCCTCTGACATAGTCTGGCAGAAACTCCGTCTGCACCAGGGCTACTATCATGGGGGACTTCAGCGGCACTGAGGCTGCCATCTGCACAATATATCCAAGCTGCTGTTGTGTTCGGAGGATTTCAAAAAACTTGGCAGAGAGCACCTTGTCGAGCAGCATCGCAAGCATCTCATCTTCTAGGCCAATAGGCAGCTGCAGTTTTAGCAACACAGCGTGATTCGGGTCGTCTACATCCATACTGTCCAGCTCCCACAAAGTGGAACCTTCTGGAAGTGAAGCTTCTGCACGATAGGGCAAGCTTTGCAATGGCTTTGAAAGCTGCAGCCCCTGCAACACGTTAAATCCAACTGAATCTCAGCTTTGCCCCCGTTACCGATAAACGCGTTAGCCACTAGCAGCACCAGCATGAAGCAAATTAAGCTTGCGAACTCGAATCTCATCCGGCCGTCACAAGCTTTGCAGACAACTGCTTGGCATCTTCAGCTGTCAGGTTCCCCAGAATTAAGGCCTGGGACAACAAGTGCCTTACTAGTAGGAACAAGGACGCTAGGAGAAACAAGTGCATCGCTAGTAGAAACAAGTGCATCGCTTCTAGCATGATTTGGAACAACAGGCTCTGAGAGAAGAGTCGAAAAGCGAGATGCGCTTCCTAGCCTGTTCAGAATCTGTGCTCCGCCGATGTACTTGGAGTCCACTAAGGGCATTGCACTAATTACTCAATGTTCAATCATGTTCAATCAACACATATCTTAGCTTTTGTCTGGAGTGCTTTGCCTGAATGCGTGCTCCTCTCCATCTTGCAAACAAACAAAACCGCCTCCACATGAGCTCCGTCAGCAAAAAAACGAGCACAAAGATTGCTGAGATCCTCCCGTTGGATCTTCTCCCAAGCTTTCAGTTTCTCCAAGACCTTAATGTCATTCTTGGGGACGTCGGGGACGCTTTCGGGGCTCGCTTTCAGCTGCCAATGGGAACCGGAACAAACACCAAAGACAAACCAAAGCTTTGTGTCCATTGGATGTCCATTGGGTCCATCAAGATGAGAAGCTGGAAAGGAACTTCCTTGATATAGAAGATCATCAAAACGATGAATTGCTTGTTGGATCGGCTGAGCGTGCTCTGCCTCGGTATGTTGGCTTTTCAACAAATGGCTTTTCGCGTGCTCTGCGAAGTTTCGTTTTCATCCATCTAGGAACCAATTGAATCTTCGTGCGGCTACATATGTCCATCTACCATTCCCCTCTACCGGCCGCGTCCATACCATTTCCCTAAGACTATCTAGCTACCCGCCTTCCCACCTATTTCAAACAAATCAAAGCAAAAGCCTGAGTCATTCCTCCTTTCAGGTCCTTTCATCTTATTCCGACTCATTTCGATCTCATTTTGATCTCACCTGATTGCGGAGATCGTCTCCCGCAGCGTCCATGACAATTGCAAAGATATGCTCCGGCACAGCGGTCATTGAGATCATCTTTTCTGTCACCGCCTATGGCAAGTCTCAGGCCATTTAAGGCACTTGAGATCTGTTCCAATATGTTTTCATCGTACAAGAGCGCATGCACCCCTCATTACTCGCAGTCACAAGAACACCGGCCTTTACGCTTCGGATAATATACATATATTTCTTTTTAATGCATTTAATGAGAATGTGTTTCAAGTCTTGGATCCCACAAAGGCTAGGAGAGTTCCAAAGTTAACTCGATATCGTGAGCAAACATTTTCGTTGAATCTGAAGCTGTTGCATCCACTTCAGTACTTCAGTCCTCGAGGAGGACATGGAGCTTGTCGTTGAAACCAGAAAGGACCTTGTTGTGAGATGATTCACTGACACTTGAAATCCGTCACAACAGGCCTGGCAGTTGGAGCCAAAGAAAGCATCCAAGTCAAGTGCGTGCTCTCACATAAGGGCCGCGCAAGACGTAGGCTCCCGCCAGACACCTTCAGCCTGACATAAAATTGTATGAACAAGCGTGGAGTTCCGAGTTTCGCCCTCCACAATCGTTTGACAGGGCCCTTGAATGGCTCTAGGGCCTCTAGGGAGTGCAAAGTGTGTCCACTGTGTTTCATTCAGACTCAACCGAGGAGGTCTGGTCTGGTGTCTAAAGCCATGTCAGATAGGCGCATATCCAACTCCTGCAATCTCGGCATCATAGGCGAAGTCTTGCAAGGCCTGCAGTGACGAGGGAGTGATGAAGTGGATCTGAACCGAACGTGGGCTCTCGCTAGTAAGCTAGTACATGCTAGTACCATGAGTAACGATAAACGAACAACGCAACAATCGTTCAGTGAAGCTTCCAAGAACCCTCTCTTACGTTCTACAAATCTGCCTCCTCCACGCACAGGGACCAGATTGCTGTCTTCATGTAGCTAGCAACATCCTCGCCATGTTGGGAGCATCCAAGCAATCTGTCCAAGTATTAAGTATTGCTGCAAATGAGCCTTCGTGAAATATGGAGAGTAGATGAAGAATGTGACCTGCGCCTGCCAGAAAACGCCATGCAAACGCAACACTGTGTCACAACGAAAAAAACTAAAACACTTGCAGTTTGTCTGAGAAAACGTCCTGTTTGGCCTTCGGTTGCTGAAAAAGGTCGTCTTGTCGGTGGAAGATGCCAGCCACCGGAGGCTCGGTGCCTTTCAGGAGGACTGGGACAGCCTTGCGGAGGAGTCAAAGCATCTGTCCCAAGTCTAGGAACAAAATGAACAATGCGAGCGCTTCTTCAGGGAAGCTCCTGCCCTCAGGCGAGAAAAGCTTCCTTGAAGAAGCACGAGCTATCCTGCGTCCTGAATTAATTCTGAATTAAGTAGGCGCCTACGTGATTAAGATTGATTAAGTAGTAAGGGGGCGAAGCGACCTTTAAAAAAGAAGCTTCCTCTCCAGCCCTGTCCGGCCCTGTCCAGCGCCGTCCTGTTTCTCAGAAGGCGGCTTCAAGCTCAAGTCCTGACCCACACGCAGTATCACGCAGTCAGGCGGCAGTCTATGACTCATTGCAGTCGCCTCGCCTCCGGAATGAACGGGTTGGGCCTTGGAGATTCTGCTCGCTACTAAATTCTCTTTGAAAGTGAATACTAGGGGCAAGGACGCTACTAGTAGCTCCTGTACTAGTAACAAGAAGCAACTAGTAACAAAGGGCATCGCTACTAGGAGAAAGGACGTTCGTCGAAAGATGTCAAGCCCGGCACGGTGGCAAATGCAGGCCCATTTTGCTGGTAATGTCCCTCGACTCCTTGAAGTGACATCACGAAGCGCATTGAGTTCCATGGATCTCCATGGAATATCGAATATGAGCAAACATGCAAGAATACTCAGGCAAAACTGTTTTTTAAAAAAGTTTAAACATGTTTACTCATGTTAACTAAATAAACGCAACTACTAAATAAACAAATATAGATACAAATAGTAACACCATCATTAAATTGAAAATGTCTAAAGCAAAAATAAACAAAGGGCACGCAGGCGTTCTGTTCTGCTGTTAAGCCCACTAGCATGGACATGCGAGCCCGAAACGGCCATTCATCTCTTCTGGGAAAGTCCCCCAAAATCCAAAATACGCACTGAACTCTGAAGAGCTGCAAATCAGAACAGGAGGTGAAAACAGAAAAAAAAAAAAAGAAACTGAAAAGCACCTCCAGCGAACCGCCAGCTTTGAGAACATTGGCCCAAGACTCCTCTGTTTGCAGCCCAAAACACTAGACCCCAGCGTTCTTGCAACTTGTTTCATTGAGTCAGGAGCCAGCCAGCCAGGTTCAATCTGGAGTAGTGCCATTGGCGAACCTGAGCAATCACGAGTGGATCAACTGATGAGCAATCAGGACTTCCTTTCTCAGTCAGTGCAACAACTTCCATCCAGCAATTCTCCTTCTGTGCGCAGAAACTGTAAGAAGTGTCCTTCTCCGTACAACGATCTGCCAGCACTTTCGCCTGAAACTGAACCTAGGTCAGCTTCAGTTGGACGCAATGATTTTTGGTTTGTGTGGAATCGATCGGCGCACTCGAACAGTGTCCAGCGTCAGTTTGGAAAGCAAGTTCGAAATGGCATCTGGATTGAACCTTAGAGATGCGCACTCAGTCGGAGTGTTGATCGCCTCAAACCTAATAGTTTCCAACTTAGAAGTGATGGCCTCCAACCTACTAGCAATGGCCTCCAGCCTAGAATCGATGGCCTCCAACCTCCTAGCAATGGCCTCCAACCTACCAGCGATGGCCTCCAACCTAGAAGCGATGGCCTCCAACCTCCTAGCAATGGCCTCCAACCTACTAGCGATGGCCTCGAACCTAGAAGCGGTGGCCTCCCACCTACTAGCGATGGCCTCCCACCTACTAGCGATGGCTTCCTCCTGGATGGCCTCCAACCCAATTACTAATAGGTCGGAATCACTTATAGCCAAGATATAGTGAACATAGGCCACTTGTAGCAAACATATATCATAACTGTATCTCAATGCTATGTAAGTGCTATGTTGTGTTAAATTGTATATATCTATCTACGCGCTAACTCGGTTGCGTGTGCAGAAACAACCTTTTACGCAGCAGAAATGTCGCTTGAGGCATGCATTGTTGTGTGTTTTGTGGCGCGCAAACAAAGCAGCAAACGCAGCTGTTTTTTCTTTGCACTTATATGTGAGTGTCCAATTGCCCTTCGGCATCTGGAAAAGAATGCGGCCAGCGCACATGGAACGCAAACTGTACAGACTGCCAAACTCGGGCGACGACTACACAAGCGCTGCGGCAAGTGAAAACAGGTGCAAATATATACAGCACTGGAGCCAAGAAACTGTGAAAAAAACAACTCTCACATATCTATTGGCCGACACTTGGCCAACATACCATTTCATTGGCCGACATGTCCCCATGAAAGGGTTTATTAGATAGTGTATATAAAGTATAGCATTCTCGAATCACTGGCCGACATTGGGCCGACAATTGGCCGACATTGATTTTTCCAAATTTCAGCGTTGTCTGGCTGCTTTGGCCAGATACAGTAAGTATATAATAAGTATATCTATTGGGTCTGTCGTATATAGGCGGCCCCCCGCGTGGCCCCAGATCACTATACGAAACCAAAGCCAGCAAACCTGTAGCAGCTATAGACTTCTACTATCAAAACACTTCCTGTGATCCGGGACTTCGGTTTGCTTTTCTGGTTCTTGTTACTACTAGTAAGGCACTTGTTACTACTAGCGATGCACTT